CTGGTTTTTAAACATTAAATGTCATTTATATCTATATTTACATTGCTGTTTTCCTTTTGTTATATCTATAGTTATATTGTATTTTGTATTCGACAAGATGGGACCTTACAATAAGGTAGTAGTGCTTAGTTTGCTCTATGTGCTCCTACTACTTTATAGAAGCCAGTTTTACCCACTTGTGACATAAAGGTACTTGAATAAAATCTACAGTATGAGCAGTTATTCTGAGGCCCTGGAGCCTCTGAGGGTTCAAACCCCCCGAGTAACCATTTTTGTTTGTTATATTTGTTTCTGGTGAATTTGTTTTGAAACCATCTTGATGAAAATCCATCTGTTGAAATGAGGTTCGTTGTGAATTGTATACTCTATAGCGATCAACTTTGTACTGCAGTCACATAATGTATTGCCCTAAATGAAATGTTGACCCATCACATGACCACAGACTGAAAGACAGAGTCCAGGTAGTTTCTCAGCACTGGTTGCATTGTGCTCTCTGCACCTGCACTCAATGGGAACTTGGAGGCCCCAGGTTAAACAAACAGGGCAATCGGGGCCATTGTTACGGGGCAGGGTTTTTACCTCAGGATTTATTTTGAAGAGCGAAAAACACCAACATCCGGTATTCTTATGTTTGCGTGGTGTTGATTTGACTTGAAATAAAACCTTTTGGTTGCATTTCTACTTCCCCACTGAAGCAACAGGGATGCGAAACAACATGGGGACGGGCCTTAGTTCACGTGCACACGCTCGTAAAACCATGTGTTGAATTATAGAAATCACACAATCGCTTTCCGGTTGAAAGGCAGTTTGTCCCTCTGGAGCTGCCGTGGAGGGCGTGTGCGTAGTTTCCGCCCACTCCGACTTCAACCGGAAGTGAAAGTGAGCGAACAATCAAAACAAAGTGCTCCGGCTTCACCAGGGATCGTCACCGGGTCCGCAGCATCTCCATCATGGACGCTGCGACGACGCCACTGCGGTGCTTCGGCGAGGGCCACGCCGCGCAGATGTTCGCGGACGACGGGGTGGAGACGGTGACTTCGGTGGAGCAGGTGGGGCGCCGTTAGCTCGCGTGGCTAATGCTAGCACTGACTTTGCAAAGTGTGACAGCGGAATCACTTTTATTTGAAATACTTTTATCTGTCTGTTAACGAGATGAAGTGAGAACACACTGTTATTACATTATTATTAACACACCGCGCTGCTTCCAACAAGCGCAAGTTTCCCCCCGTGGCTAGCATCGTGGTTTAATTGGATTACGTTTAAATGAACTTAGCTGTTAGCAGAGGAGGAAGATGCAATAGAATAAGTTCACCCGGGGCCACAATCACATTTAATAACACATTATAACATCTATTACTATCATTACTATTATTGTCTATTTTAAACTTAAATGTGTAATAATATTTTACCAAAGCCGAACTATTCTATTATTATCATTCTCCATTAATGTGCAGTGTAATCGTTCAGTTGTTTTGTTAAATATAATATTTAAAAATCATTGACAATTAAACTATTCACCAGATCTGAAGAAGGCTGATGGGAGTAAATAAGTTAAATGCTGATACATGTATAGAATTGGAATAAACATTTTATTTTTCTGTATATTTTTTTCTCTTGTAAAATAAAAGTTCTTCTATCAGCAAACACAGACACCAATATATCTGTATTACGACTGTTCACGCTCCTCTCACCTGTTCTGTCTCTTTTCATCAGAAAAAAGTGGAATGCAGCATTAAAGAAGTCATCAGTGTTTACCAGCAGATACACAGCTTACCACAGTAAGTATTCATTCCCCCCTGGAAATACTCCTTTGTAATTCTTTAAATTACTGGCATTAGATTGTTCCTAATAATTAACCCCCCCCATCAGAGATTTTTCCCCCCCGAGGTCAGACCCCCTAGTTTGGGGACCACTGTTCTAAATGCCATGTATAAATTATTCAAATATTAATTTTTAAGGCTGTTTGATTTATACCACGAGAACAACACCTACGACCCTGCAGTGTTGTTTATATGTAGAAAGTGGAAAATGAAGCTGCTTCAGACATGTGACTCTGTACGGTTTGATATTAGTTTAATATTAATGTGAAATCAGGACATTCAATTGTCCTGACCTCAGTGCAGTGGATTATAAATCTCTATATAGTGGAGAAGACAAAACTGAGCACAGACAAACTCGTATTTTTAAAACCAACAGTGGATAATTTGGTCAGATATTGTGAATGTGACATATTAGTGATGATCGTGTGTTTTCATCGAGCTGTCATAATGTTAAACAGCTATTATGGAACATTTCCCAGAATCCTGCTCATTGGATGCAGCTCACAGAACACCTGCTGTTTTCCAGTGAGACACGGCCACATGGAGACGTATGATTGCTCTCGACGATGAGCTGATCAGCCCACATGCTTTGCTGCTGCTATCTGCCATCAGGTCCCCGTTAATGGGTTGACTCATCTCATTTCTATGACAACTGCACGGGCCCGAATGTCACCGGCACTGTAGCCAGTGGGGAAATGTTTATTCAGTGCATGGTAAATGATATATCATGAAGATAATCAAATGGAGTCATGTGTTTGGTTGTGATAGTTTGTGTCTGAACATGTGTTCAGCTGACAAGAGAAAAGGTCAGCTCTCAGTAATTCGTTAGAAGTTAAATGAATTAGAGGTTTTGAGGATAATTGCAGAAATGAATGGAAGGTATCTTTTCCAACTCTGAGCTGCAGACTCAACAATTAATTTTGATTAGTCCACTTCTCCTTAGAAAAGTGGTTCTAATGACAAAGCAGTAAAAAGAATGGTCTTGTTTGTGGCTGTTTTATTTAATCTCTTGAAGTTCTTTGGGATTAAATTGGCTGAAAACAAAGGTTAATTCAGGGTTCATCGATATTTTAGAAAGGGCGAACATTTGATTTCTTTAAACATATTTAAATTAATTCCAACAGCCCGCTCTAACAACAATGACATTTCAAACTCTACCTTCACAGATGCTAAGGAAGGTTCACTGACAAGAAAAATGCAAGAAGTAAATTTCCATAAATTGCCACGATTATAAAAATCCTGAGGTGACAAATCACCCACACAGGGAGATGTTTGACTAGACGATACAAAGCATTTCTTTTCAGATTACATGTATTCATATTCATCCAACTGCTAAGTTACACTTGCTGTAGAATATGATTTCTTACATTGAGGATATATTTTTGTAAAATGTACAAAGGGATAAGTTCATAGAAATATGGGTTTATTTAAAGTCTTCCATTAAAGGTATGTTGTAAGTTCTTTCTTAAAGTCACTCCTTTCTTTTTAGTGGAGTGCTTTGGATCAGCTTTCGAGCGTCTCGGGGCTTTTCGTGGTTGATAGGGTATTAAAAGGTCAGAGATGCACAAGGGTTAAGTCCTGAAGAGCTTTGCAGGTAATTAAAATGACTTTAAAATCAGTTCTAAAAGAATAAAGGAGCCAGATGGTTCAGGTAAGACAGCAGCAGTGTGCTCTGTCTTCTTGGGCTTAGTAAGAAGTTGAGGTGTTTTTTTTATTTTTCTCTCTCTTCACTTTTCCAGATGCTTCCTCTGTTCAGCTTGAGGCTGAGATTACAGGTTTCATTTTCCCTCACACTTGCCTGCAGCCCCGTCTGCCCTCAGCATTTAAACAGCCGAGCTGAATCCTCATCTGATTCACATGACCGTGGTGGGCGGCCCCGGCCCTTTCAGCTGCTTAGCACTGGTCCTGTGCTTCCTACTGATCGTTGTGCTGCAGAATTGATGCTGTCAAATGTACGAGCATAGATCTGTGACTAAGCCTGTGTAGGTAGAATGTAATTACAATCATCGTAGTGAACGCTGTGTGCAAAGAGCAGGCGGCAAATAGAAGTGGGTAGGTTGTGTGTTGCTGAGGAGGGTGGGATCGTCAGCTGTCTTTGACTCACTGACACATATACACTGGCACAGAGCTACAGATGCAGATGAAAGTTGCAGTTGTTTTTCACACGACTACATATTTGAGATTTATATTTCTGTCGTCTTCTCTTTTCCTTAGACCGACGTTGTTGCGTGAGCAACACTACCAGTATCTCAAGAAGGGCTTACGTCATTTATCAGATGCCTACGAGGTAAAGTATCGCACCTCCAGCAAGCAAAGAAACATCTGTTGTGTATTGTAAACGCTGAAGACACAAACAGCTGAGTTCTCCCCCTCAAGCTAAGTTTCTACCAGAGGTTGGATTAGTTCCTGTGTTTTAATAATAATCACCTGTGTTCACCTGAAGCACAGTAACACTGAATTCACTCGTCAAAAACAACTACGGTGTGAACTTTTCTCTGTCTCCCCAGAAAAGTCACAGAAATGATTTTTTCTGTGGTATTGTGTTGATCTAAGAAGAATCATCAGTGGAAACTACAAGTCTCAATCAGAAGTCTTAGTATTATGTAATTAGAACATCATAACAGACGTCACGTCACTGT